AAAACAAATGCGAACGAAAAGTACTAGTAATATTGTGAAAAAAGCGACTGGCTTTTGATATACAAAAAATATGGCACAAAGCGCCCACGCTTTTTTCACAATCATACTGGTATTGAATTCAATTCAAGATTTGGGATGAGAAGGTTACCAACTGGTGGTATAAACGGAATGAATGAATATCAATCACTTCTTGTCCTGAAATTACATATTTGAAATATCTGTTCTCATTAGAATATGTTAAACTAGTGATATTTTCGAATCACCCTATAGTAACACTGTTCTTTCTGATTTTAGCTTCCCATTGAAGCCAAGAAAGTAGAATCCTCCAAAAACAATCTGGAGATCACAAATGGTGACGTGGCAGAACCTAATTCATTTCCTTACGTGGTGAGTATATTCCACTTTTCCAGTTTCCACCTGAGTAATAAACAGCTCACAATCATGTATATTGAATGTTTTCTCAGAAATACTGATATATCTGAAATAATATACAGAATATACGATAATGTATACGTCAAAATTGTTTTTTTAGTGAGTGTAGTCTTTATATACAAACTGAATGAAAATAGAATAAGTGAAAACACATTTATGTTAAACGGTTTTTTTGAAGGAAAAAAGATAATGTACTGAAAACTAAAAATAATTCGGAAGGACCTAGGTAGCAGCACTTTCCTCAGCAATCTATGGTATTGATCAGAAAAAAATTAATAAAATCGTTGGGCGTAGCGCAACCTGTGTAAATATGTGAATACTACGCCCAACGATTTCATTATTTTTTATCTGATCAATACCGTAGATTGCTGAGGAGAGTGGTGGGATGACCGGCATCCAGGACCTTTCGAATTATTTTTCAGTTTTAAGTACATTATCTACATCTTTATTGTCTTTTTTTCTCAATAAAACCGTTTTACGTAATTGTTTTTTACTAATTTTACTTTCATCTCTTTAGTTTCTAATTTTGTTAGTCATTTCTTCTCATTCTGTACAGTTCATTTAGTTCATGTAATTCGCCATTTTGTAACTGCGGCCATCTTGAATTTGCATCTCTTTCAAAGTTTACTACTACTCAACTTGTCAATCCCTGTCATTTGATACCCATATTGAGGTAGTTGTGTTGGATTCACAATGACACATCATTTTTGTATTGTCATCAAAACTAAATGTGTGTACAGACTAACAGATCAATCAATACTGAATTTGACCCAAATAAATGAATAAATGAACAAACAAACAAACAGGGCAAGCTGAATAAAACCGTTCAAAAACAGTGCATTCGTTAGGAACTGAGAAAAACGTAAGAACTCATCGATTTTTAGTTGAAACTATTCTTGGTATTTTTGACTCTTTCACCCAAAGCCAGGGTGACAGTCATTCAAAAGTTTCAAATAGTAGGAACGTCGAATACGATGTCGTTTTAGATCTTGAAATTCTTTATATTATTTTATTATTCCGATTGCTATTATTGAGAAATTACAATTGGAATTTTCAATTTATGAATTTCGAGATTACATCAAGTCTATTCGAATTGAAACCACCTCATGTGATGCCTTATTGGATGGTAAGGGGTGATTATTTCCATATTATATCACTAGCCTTCGCAATTATGTATCTTTCTGATATTTTATAAATATTTTCTCGGGTTTTCTATTCTCTCANCTGGTAAACACACAGTTTACTGCCGGAATTTTTTTTTACTGTTTCTAGGTAATTTGGGTCTGCTGAATCCAAAAATGCCACCAGATTTGCTCCATCAGATCGTTTTCAGAAAATACGACAACAGATCACATTTCTAACATACAGGGTAATTTAACGCAGCAATATCTACATATATATAGTGTTGCTACCCATCAAATAATCAAAAAACGAATAAAAAGTAAGATACTTATTGTACAAACATATACTTACAAAAATCATCACACATATCTACCAAAAAAAACTAACTTTTCATGTAACCTAACCAGCATCGCAGCACAAATCTGTTATTCGGTGTCACCTAAAAACTTCCTTTTATATGATTTTCTTGCGAAGGCTTTAAAAGGACGGTCCCTTTGAAGACTCCAGCAGTGATCCGCCATCATGTGAGTTTCCCATCTCTCCTGATACCTCTCTTCCATCGTTTTGATATCTTGGTGGAAGCGTTCCCCTTGTTCCTCACTAAGGTCACCAATATTTTCTGAGAAACGGTCTAAGTGGCTGTGGAGGTAATGAATTTTAATACTCATATGACAACCGTGTTTGTTAAAACTGGTAATTTTCCGATTTATTGTTTCCAAGAAAATTTTCCACAACTTTCACAAAAGAGCACCATGAATTACACTTAATTTCAATGATCGATTCTGTAAAATGCGAATCTTTTATAAGTTGTCGTATCTGAGGCCCATCAAATATTTCAGCCCAGATCGCAACTGATGTTGGTCATACTTGATGTTTTTTAGCACCAACGATATTGTTTTATATTCTTCTTTCAGTTTTGTAGAATGCCCAATTGGTATACTTCGATATTTGTTGCCATTATGTAGAAGGACACGCTTTAAACTTCGTTTGGAACTGTCGATAAAAAGGCGCCAGTGATCTGGTGTATACTCGGATACACCCATTTTTTCCTAACAGTCCTTTAATATTGTTACAGAAAACCATTTCATCTTGCTGAAAAAAAAGGCAAAAGATCTTTTTCTCTATTACGGTAGTATGTAATTTTGGTGTCT